AACCTACTGAGCACCTTTCCCAGAGTCCTTTACATGAAGAGCCTACTGGGCACCTTTCCCAGAGTCCTTTACATGAAGAACCTACTGGGCACCTTTCCCAGAGTCCTTTACATGAAGAACCTTCTGGGCACCTTTCCTAGAGTCCTTTACATGAAGAACCTGGGTGCATCGATCAGAGTGATGAGAGTGAAACTATACCAGTGTCCATGATTGTTGGTCAAAGTGATGAAGACCAGAGTATAAGTCAAGAGGACGACAGCCAAGTGAAGCAAATGCAGTATGACTTTGCAAGTGGCTCGGTCAAGTCTTCTGGAATAGATCAGATCTCTGATGTCTCTGACAATGAATCTATGTTGGAAGAAGATGTTGGATGTATTGATGATGCAGATCAACCACACACTTCAAGTCTCTCCAATCGTTGCCCAAAACATTCCACCACGTCAAGTCCAGCACAAATGGAAAAACCATTGCTGATGAGATCTCTCTCAAATAGCCCCAAATATTTAAATGCAATGAGCCCAGTTCCAACAAGTCCAAAATCCCCAACAAGTCCTAGTCCCAAACACACATCAAGTCCAAGGCAATCTACTGCACCTAGCCATCAACATTCAACAGCAACTAGTCCACAAAACTCAAGTTCCTCAAGCCACTCGCCAAGTCCCCAACATTGTAGTCCATTGCCTTCAACGTTTATCCATCTGGATCAAGATTCACAGGACCTTAATAAATCTACAAATCCAGAATCTCCTCAACATTCAAGCCATAACTCTCAAGTTGAGGATGACCTTTCGGTAGAGTTTGCAGATGAACGTCCAACAGAGGTGCTTGAACCAGAAACTACTCTTCAGGAAGAAATTCCCTACACCGTCATAGATGAAGTTGATCTCACTTCTGATTCTGACAAAGAGGATGGTGGGGAAGAACTTGAGAAGTTGCATGAACAGAACACTGTTAATACATCTGTAAAGGAAGAAATATGTTCTAAGCAAGGATCATTGCAGGTACTCCGGAGACGATGGCTAGAATAGCCATAGCTTGTGGATAGGTGTTGACTTGTGGCTTGTAGTTATAGCTTCTAGATGTGGTAGCTATGGATAGCGGACAAACACTGAAGATGCAGTCCTGAGAAATGCGTTCTTGCTCATCCCACTTGTTTTGTGTCTTTTATTCTTTTATTTATCTAATCTCGTTGAAGTACACCACTTCTATGCCAACAGTTTATTCTGGTTTGAGTGTAAAATGCTCGCCGTTTATGCTGGTTTGCAACTCATCTTCTTTGAATAGGAAGAAGCCTCAACAGAGGATGAGGAAGAAGAGGATGAGAGGGACGAACCAGAGGAAATGTGTGAAAAGGCTAAAGATTCTCAAAATGGTAGTGCTAGCAAGGAAAAGCGAAGAGGTACATTTTCATCCTTTATGATTTGAAGGATTATTTTTTACTTCAAATTTGTGGAATGTAGTGACCATATATATAATGTATTACATGACCATATAACATTCTTTGCATGTTTTTCCAGATTTCCTTTTAGAATTGGGACTCGAAAAGGAAGATGAAAATGACGAATCTCCCTGGGATTCAGAGGTCAGTCTCAAGACATATTAAACAAAGCAAAGCTGATGAAGTCTCTATACAGAAATGCAGTATATGTGTACAACATCACAATCAGGAATTTCCCAACCGGTGATTAGAAAACACCTTGAAGTTTGTGATAGAACTGCAAGGAGTTTGTGGAATTAAATATAAATTAGTTAAGCAAAAACAGGGTGTCCGCGGGTCCTTAAAATGTCTAAAATAACGTTTTCCTAATAAAAGGCCTTAAAAAATCTTAAAGGGGTCATATGATGCGATTTCAAGTTTTACTTTCTCTTTGGAGTGTTACAAGCTGATTGTGCATAGATAAGATCACTGAAGTTGCAAAGACTAAAGTCTCAAAACCAAAGAGATATAATTTATCAAAGTTAAGACTCTGCCACGCCCCCCTAAAACGGCTCGTTCTAACACGCCCCCACATATCTACCTCACTATGTGGAAATATTTGCATAATGCCGCCCAAATGTGCACGCAAAGAAAGAAGGCGTGGTTTCAGTAACCGCAGTTAGTGTTGCTGCAGCCATGTCAGGGAGACGCTGTGTGTTTCTAGGCGAAAGCAAAAGCACTTTATTTGGCCTTCCGAAAGTAGATGCATTTAGGAATCTTTAAGATTACTTACAACAGAACAGCAATGCATTTTATGGACGACCGTTTCGTGAACCTAGGAGAGGAGGTAATTCTGACTTTGCTATGACAATCTGGCGCTTCTGAATCAGCTACTGTTTTGTTTGCAAATGAGCTGCTGCTCCCCGCCCCCTTTTCCAGAATAGAGCTGCGCCATTACAGCTCGGACCTGTTATAAAAAACATCTGTTTTGGTTCTGATTACCATGTTTATCGCGCTGATATCATGCATTTTAAACCATATTAGTTTAAAGGGGTCATATGATGCTTTTTTAAAGCATAATTATTTGGTGTAACAGAATATGTTGACATGCTTTAATGTTAAAAAAACACATTATTTTTCAAATACCGTACATTATTGTAGGTCCTCTATGCCCCGC